ACTGCACCAGGTCACATTCCTCGTAGGCTAAAAACCTACTTGGCAATAAACAAAATTCTGATTCTGATTCTTATATCTACTAATCTCTAACAGTGTCTGTATATGGTTAATTCAAAATGTTCAGTGATTATGTCCATGATGTTGCACACTATGTCCCATAAATCAGAAAGGTGTAATGAGTTTAATCCACGGAGAGAACAGCAATCCAGAGGGTTAAATCTAAATTCGAAACCAGACATAACACACATTTAAATTAATTAATTAATTAGCTACATCTACATCTAAAATAAATTATTAATTGATAACGCATACAGGTAACCTTTGCCTTTCAGTTTCTTATATCTACATACTGTAAAATAGTGTATCGTATATCTCGTATTACATTTATTATACTTCTTATACATTAAAGTATATTTACTGTATGATAGCATATTCATTCTCATTGTTTAATGGGATGCCTGTTAAAAGGATCCCACCTTTTTTTAGGTTATTTTGTTATGAGCAACAAAGTAGACAGAATTTAAAAGTTAGAGTTCTGGTAAAGTGAGTTGACACAGAAACACGTATGAAGTGTTCTGGTTGCATTAAAGCATTTTGGATTTGAAATTATTACTATATATTAACATTTTTACTGTAATATGAGGTCAATTCGAAGACATGCAACCTGTCCTCCGAGGGCTTCAGGGTAATAATGAATAGTTTTTATTTTACTATTATTAAAAATGAAGAACAACATCAGTACTTTAATCCATAAAAAGCAATCCAAACTTTATTTTACAGTTTTGAACTCCAAGCATTTTTACATATATACTTCCAACATAAGTGTGCTAACATTTAAGGGCAACAGTAAGTAAACCATTTTCTTTATTGATTCTTCAGACCTTCTTCTTTCATGCAACCACATTAATCCAAAAGGTAATCAGAGACAGGAAATTAAAAGAAAACAGGAGCCAGGAAGACTAGCTTCACAAACAGGAAAAAGAAGAGCAGAAACCTGGAAACCTGATCATACACACACACACACACACATGCGCGCGCGCATACAGAGCACCAAGTGCAAATCATTCAGCAATAAAAAAATATGTAAACGGTAACAATGCAGGTTGTATCCTGATTGTGTATAAATCAGCCCAACTATCAGGCACATTAACCCCCCAGTGGCCTTTCTGTGATAAAAAGAATTACTCCTCCATTAGTGCCCAGGCCTCTTCAGCTTTCATGTAGTACTGGTTGGCCAATCGACCTTTCATGGCCGCCATGGCAGCTTCTGCCGCTTCTGTAAACAGATCACCTGCAGGGACGTTATGAGAGGTTAGGATGGAGGCAGAGATGATTATCTATCAACAAATCTCATAAAAATACCAAAACCAGCAATGAATCGATCCGACTATCAAGAATAGTTTTATATACGTTATTTATCTGTGCAATAGAGCTCCTTTATTGTCCAACACTGTAGTCTGCTGATTGTTAAAAAAGAACCACCTTCCCAAATACATGAGAAAAAAGACTAAACACAACAAAAAGTGGAAAAAAATATATAGATATGTGTTACACCATTGCCAGATTTCAAAGTGGCTTTTGACTGATTATTACTTTTTCGTTACAAAAACGGATCCATTTTGAGTCACTGCATCCGATCTCTTTCATGATGTTTTGTGATTTAATGGTGATATTCTAACATAACTGGTAACTAAAATTTAGAAATTTAAATTCTTTAGATATAATAATAACTAGATAAATGACCAGAAAATGTGTTTTATTTCAATCTAACCATTTGGCAGTACCACTACCTCCACTGTCCACTGGATGGCGCTCTGAGACCCACCAGTGGTTGAGACTGGCTGCATTAGAGCACCTAATGTGTATTAATCCACAGCTGAAAATGTAGGGTTTTAAAATGTTTGCTAATACGCTGTCGATCTTTGTTATCAGTTTGTTGCTTTGCCAATGAATGGCTAAATACAGGAGGCTAATGCATGACACAGAGAGAGTGTATTTAGTTGTTGAACTATGGATCATCAGAAACTGTAGGCGTGTTTGAGGAGTTTTTATACACATTGTGTTACTTTTTTCCGATTGACTACAGCTACCAGTCTCCATGAAGGAGTAAGCCAGAGTTTAATTTTTAAAAGACTTAAAATTACGAGGGTATATCCATATATATTCAGCACCACAAGGTCTGTTAAGCCAGCATGGAAGTCGAACCTGCTCTCTGTGGGTCTGCCTTCAGGTTGTAGCCTCCCTCTTGGTACATCTCTGCCTCTCTGGCCAGCAGCAGGTAGCGAGGCTCGTCCTGCGTCCCATCAAACTCTCCGCCCTCGTCGTAGTCTGACATGTTCAACACACTGTCGTACCAGTGAATCGCTTCCTCCCAGTCCTGCTTCCTGGATAATTAAAAAACAATAACGCACAAACCCTTCAGCACTAAAAATAGTACAAACTTCCTGTAATAAAAAACTTTTAGAAATTCCTCTAGGGCGCAGTATTATCATGATTGTTAGACCAGGATTCATTTGAAGGGATATTTTTATCCACTTCAAACGTCCAACTTTTCAAACCTTCACTGACCTGTCAGCTGACAGATTGATCCCATTATCAAAGGCTCTGGCCATTATGATCATAGAAGATCTGTCACCAGCCTCAGCAGCCTGCAGCAGATACTTAAAACCTTTCATCCGGTTTCCTGCATTATCCTGCCAATAGCACAGAAATGTAAGAAAACAAAAAAGGTGCATTTTGTTCTAAATCAAAGTCAAATCAGCTGCAGAGAGAAGTCAGGATAAACTGCAGGCTACCTCCATCTCCATGTCTGGCAGTATGTGATGAGGCAGCTGCATGCAGCACTGTCCCAAGGCTACGATGGCCTCCAGCTCTCCACACAGTGCAGCTCTCTCCAGGTGGAACATGGCCGAGTCCTGATCCCACTGCTCGTCCTTCTCGCAGAAACGACCCGCTTCGTGGTACCGCACCATCGCCAGGTGGACCTGGGCAGGAAGGAGGGAGATCCAGGATATATTCAACATACGAAGCTAACCACGAACACCAGATTTCTGGCTGGATTCTGGCCCGTGACATGACGTCAAAAATATAATATAATTTAGGATGCAGGATTATTATTTTGTGAGAGACATTTTCAGGTTTTCATTTGTTGTTTGGCTTGTGAACAATTAAGATATAAAATTATGATATAAAAATGTATAGAAACTGCTGTTTGTTGTTGTACCTGTACTTTTAAA